ACTTGATTTGAAAATTTGTTTTCGTTAGTCCGAATGTTAAATTTTATGAGACTATTTTTTCGTATCACAATAGCAAGCTCCATTCCTCTAATACCTATGTGTTCCCTCTACATGTGCTTGACGCTAACACTATCTCATCCCCTTTCGTCATCTCACTACTTAGCCAAATGAGTGATCATTTGTCTCTGGCTAATACTAGCCTACTACCTCTTTCTTCACCTCCACCACCTTCACCATCACCTACACCACTTACACCACCACCTCTTCCAACTCCACAATATCTTCGTAGATCCTCTAGAACAACCCATCCAACCCCATACCTACAACAATATCATTGTTCCACAAGTGCTGCTCTAGCTATTACACAACAACATCCTACTGTTTTTTCAGATATTGTTTACCCACTTACTACTTTTTTATCTTATGATCAATTGTCTCCTTTTTCATTGTGCCTATGTTATAGCTTTATCTTCAACCACTGCACCCACGTCCTTTAAACATGCTTATGCAATCACTAGAATGGAGATATACAATAGCTACTGAGATATGGGCACGCGAATAAAATAATACTCGAACTATAAACAAGTTGCCCCTTAACAAGAAACCCATTGGCTGCAAATGGGTTTATAAGATTAAGTACCACCCAGATGGTTCTATTGAATGTTACAAAGCAAGGCTATACTTAGATTGAAGGTCTGGATTATCATGAAACTTTCGCACCCGTGGCTAAGTTAGTCACCGTGTGATGCCTTTTAGCAATAGTCGTCATCTAACACTGGCCTTTACACCAGTTGGATGTGAACAATGCCTTTGTTCATGGAGATTTGGAGGAAGAAGTTTATATACAAATTCTCCCTATATTTGCCAAACAGGAGGAGAATAGAGTCTGCAAGTTGCAAAAGTCCTTATATTGACTCAAACAAGTATCAATAAATTGATTCTCTAAGCTCTCTAAAGTTCTTTAGGATACGGGTTTTCGTCAATCCAAATCTAACTACTCTTTGTTTAGTAAACAATATGGTAGCAAATGTATTCATGTTAGTATATATGTTGATGGTATACTTATTAATGTGAACGATCCCACTGCAATCGCTATTATCAAAAGCTTTATCCAGTCTCGATTTCATATCAAAGACTTAGGTCAACTCAAATATTTTCTTGGTATAGAAGTGGTCAGGTTCAATAAAGGCATTTTCCTAAGCCAACGTAATTATACATTAGAGATACTCCAAGACATGGGCACACTTGGAGTAAGGCCTTCAAAGTTTCCCATCGAGCAAAACCTAAAGTTAAACTATATTGATGGTGAGCTTCTTGAAGACCCCCATTCTTATAGGAGGCTCATTAGGAGATTGATATATTTACTTGCCCAAACATTGTTTTCAGTGTCCATATCCTTAGTTAGTTTATGCAAAGCTAGCGAAAACCACATCTTGATGCAGCCTTAAGAGTACTTCGGTATCTCAAGTCTACTTCGGGACATGACATTCAATTATCCACCTTTAATAAACTCGAGGTGACTGGATATCGTGCTTCTGATTGGGCTAGCTACCTGATGTCTCGACGATCTACCAATGGCTATCATACCTTGCTTGGTAATAACCCAATTTATTGGAAAACTAAGAAACAAAATACAGTTTCCGGTTATTTTGCTAAAGTTGAATATCGTTCTATGATACTAATAAGTTGTGAGTTAACTTGCCCAAAATATTTGTTGAACGATCTTGGTATTTTTCACTCACAGCCTATTACAATGTTTTATGACAACAAAGCTGCTCTACACATTGCTGCCAATTCAGTTTTCTATGAAAGAACAAAGTATATAGAACTTGATTGTCACCTCTGACCTACTTTGGACTGCATATCTTCACACTTCCAATCAATTGGCATATATTTTTTCAAAAGCCCTCGGCCACGAATGTTTCAACTATCTTATTGGCAAGTTGGGCATCATGTCCATCCATGCTCCAACTTGAGGGGGAGTATTCGAAGATTGATATAAATACACAGTTTGACTTTGCTGTGTATTGTAGTTGTAATGTCTATCTTCTGATCTCTATAAATCCCACAAATATTGGGTTTGAGATATGGGTTTTGTTAGGCTACACCTCTTGTGGTGTAGATCATTAAAATATTTAACATTTTTTGACACTAAAATACCCATGAATTGCAATACAAATTTTTTTAAGTAGGGTGGTCATTTAGAAGGGTATAATGGATATTTTTATAAGAAAATAGTGGGATTCAATTAGTAGTCATAAACAATTAATGCATATTGTGGGTGATGTCACATACCATATTGGTGATGTCATTGTCCATTATTGTTAATAAATGCTTTTGTTTATGTGAATGGATAATGCAGATCACCATGCAATACCTATTGGAAGGATGACATGAAATACTAGCAAAAATTGAAGTTCTTGATAGAAAGAATAACATTTATTAACTATAGAAGATGATGTTATCATTGTACATCACCCAAATGGAGCAATAATTACTTCTTAACCATTAATAAATGTCACTACTCTCTAATAAAAATATTTATCCTACCTCTATTATTGATGAAAAACGTTCCCCTCTTCATGAAGAAAAATATTCTTACTAAAAAATATTTGTATTACAAAACAATGGCATATGATTGTCCAAAAAAGTTCAGCACATCAATGACTTGGCCTATTCAAGAAAATTTTTGCATACAGTATTTTAAACAAATTTCTCAAATACCATAACATAATACTATAATAAATTATGATTTGAATCAAAATTCTACCACTTAACAATTTGTTTGTGATTTTTTTAAAACACTAAATTACCTTATAATTATTCTCACACCCATTTATTCTTACGTAGGCACAAAGATGGTGCATGAGAGAGAGCACGCTTTATTTTGTAAATTTAATAGAAAATTTAAAAGTTAAAAAATTAAGATTAAGAAAGGAAATAGCTCATAGATGGCCACAACTTTATACTATATAAGTAAGGTATACCCAAAAAAACCATTGGAAAGGATAATCCTGCCACTAAAAACCGTCTAATTTATATCTTTTACCTCAGCATGTACGACTATAAAAAAGAAAAATAGATTTCAAGTCCTACAAGTATAGATTTTGTAACTCATTAGTTGGACTATAAATTTTTAATATTTTCAAATGTATATAGATATGCATGATATGTGCAATTTGTTGAGCTTTGAATTTCACAATCGAGGGTGAAAACAAATATTTAGGCCATCATAGAGGTTTTCAACACAAAACTGCATTTTACATTAGGTTGCAAAAATACGCCTTACTTTGATCATTAAGGGCATTATATCAAACTTTGCCAATCTAGATTAGTAACCCTTAATCCGGACCAAGAATCGGTCGATACCTACATGGTTTCTTGTCGGAATCGAGAATCAGTTGGATTCCCATAAACTCGCATGGATCTAGTAGAGAATTGGGTGGATTTATCATGAACTGAGAGATCTAGATCATTCAATTCCCACTTATTTTATTATTTATTTTTTGGTTTTATATTGTTTAAATTAGAATTTGTTATCTAATTTGTTGGGATTTTATTTAGTTTTTACTTTTTAGGATAGATTCTCCAAAGGGTGTGGTTTGTATAGAGCTGAGGCTTTAAACAATCAAATTAGAACCCACGTTCAAATAGTGTCAAGAGATATGGTTTCAATATTTAAAATCCTTATGATAGCATTAAAATATATTTTAATCTTTAATTATAAAATTTAAGCTTAAAAAATAGTGCAGATCAAACAGATTTATGATAACTTGAAAATCTTGAAAATTGATTGTCCAAAAATATGTTACAATATGCGCTATTTCCAAAACGTAGAATCCATTTTCTTGATGATCAATTTAAAAATATTTGAGCACCAAAACAACCTCTTATTGGGAAATTTTTGAGGTAGGCTCTATGTAAACTTTTCCTTTCTCGAAACCAAAATTCTGAAAAAAGGATAACTTCTAGCGGTTAACTAGTGAACTAGTGAGGCGACAAAGGCGCATATCGTTGCAATAACTTTAAAAACAACTTTAAAAGAGACAAAAAAAAAAAAACTAAGGTTGAAGTTTCTATAACACCTAGGCTCTATGAAAACCAAATAAAGCCTCACCTTAAATCCTCGTTTGGATAGCACTTTAGGGCACAAAAATCTCGATGATGCTCTAAAATCAGTTCCAACACTGACAATAAATTTTAGAACTAAAAAAATTGCATAGATATTATGGATCTTTAAACACGTGTAGACAGTCTAGATAATTTGTAAAATACTAAGTTTTTTCACAATTATAATGTTCAAGTTGAGATAATCAACGTAGGAAAAAGTTTATATAAGGATGCAACTTTATAATGTAGAACTATGGATAAAGTTTATATAAGGATGCAACTTTATAATGTAGAACTATGGATGCACGTCAAAAATCTATTGGAAAAGGTGGTTTTAATGTTGAAAACCCCTTTGATTAATCATCTCAACATCGAGATGTATCACCATGAAAAAAAAAAAAAATTTAAGTATCATAAATAGTACATTTTACAACATATTATCTATACTGTCAATTTTCAAGATTTTCGTATGTTTATAGATCTACTTGATTTTAACTATTTTTTATATTTTAAAATTTAAAATTAGATATAAAAAAAGTTTTTGAGATAATCATAAGAATATTTTATATCAAAATTATATACCATTATAAAATTTGATGGTACACCTTACCTGTATGGCTACGGATGCATGCCAACCGCACCCATCAATGTAAAGGTTTTCCGAGGTTTGAATTACAATTTTCGATAAGTTGTTTGGTGCGGCTTTACTTATTGCAATAGCCCTGTCAAACCATTTTCAAAGCTGGGGCTAGTTTAGGAAATATTTTAAAATCTTTGGTCAGTTACAGTCATTACATTTACTAAGAAGTAAATTCCCCCACAAATTATGCTGCAAAATTAACCCTAATTTATGCCCCCTTTTTCACTTTCCTATTGGTTTTGGCGCCACCGCATTATTTGAAGTTGAACAGACAGCTAAAAGAATGACTGCATTTTCTCGCTCATCCCCAAAATCCTTCCTTTCTCTCTCTACCCCCGTTTTCCCTCTCTTCCCCAAAACCCCCTTTTCTCTCTCTAACCCATTTTCGCTGTCGGACTTTCCCATCACTCTTTCTCTCCGTTTCACAACTGCATCTTCTCTGTCATTCTCGAAACCCCTCCTCTCTCTCTCCATCGGCATTTTATCTCTTTACCGAATTTTCACCAATTTTCTCTTCTCCTCTGATTTTGCTACTGCGTTTTCTCTCTCATCAGGCATTTAATTTCGATTCATCAGATGTTTCTGCAAAATTTTTAGGGTTTGATCATGCCACTGCTCCAGACGCAGATCCCGGTGCCTGCAGAGACGACTTGCGGTTCTCTCCTCCAAGAATTGCAGGTACTTTTGTCATCTCTCTAACCAGGGTCGCAGGACTTTCTCTCTCTCTAGATGCTGCTGTCTCTTTCTCTCTCCCCCTCTCTCTCTACTCCACTTCTCCGTCTCTCTGTTTCCATGTGAAAGGGTTTTCCCGACCTTCCACAACTTTATTTATTTATATTATGTAATTGAGGCCTGTAACTGCACAGGTTTTCCCTCTTCCTCTCTCTCTCCCTCTTATTTTTTATTCTCTTATTTTCTCTATCTCTCTCTTTGTTTACGATGTGGATGAAATCTAGCTTTTCTTGACATTTAATGGAGTGGGTTTTACTCTAAATTGCCATAATTGCATCTCTCTCTCTCTCTCAAAACTGTGGATTTTTCCTTCCCTTTTCAATCAGATTCGTGGCCTTGCTATGGCTTGAATTGGGTCACCTCTATCTATCAAACAATTAGATTTTTGTTTTCTGCACATATAATTTCTTCTTGTTTTAGAAAGAGGATGATATTTGTCGTTCCATTTTTTTTTTGAAATTTGGGTTTGTTTTGCATGTTACTTATCACTCACACGGCATTTTATGGTTTCTTCCACCTTCTTACTGTGGCTTACTCTCTCCAAGAATCACAAAAGGGTGAGGTTTATATGGGGCACCCTCTTACACTATAGAAGTAAGGTGCACTTTTAAATTTTGCACGGAGATGTAGTTCCTGTGTCATAAATTTTATGATGCATTGAAAATCTATTTTCATCCGTAGCTATAAAATTTAAAATTCCAAAAATGGTATAGATTGAGCATATCAATAAACACTTGAAAATCTTGAAATAGATGATCCAAATAACTTGTTACAAGATGCATTATATTTAGAACTCGAAACTCTTTTTTTTTTTTTCCATATCCATACATCTTGAGATCAAGGTGATCAATTGGAGGGTTTCCAACATCGGAACACTCTCCTCTAGAGGATTTTTAAGGTGCCCTTACTTCAAAAGTGTAAGGTTCACACCTTAACTAAACTTTGTCCACCTCCAAATGTAATAGTTAGTTCCACCTTGCTCCCTCTCTCTGTGTCTCTCTTTCTCTTTCCAAGAAATGCAGTTTTACCAATTACCATTTCCAATCAGACTCCTGGAATTCTTGTATATTTTTGGTTTTATGATTTTTTTGTTTACGTCTTTCTTTTTGTCTAATGACGGCAAAAATTTATTTGTTCTTGAACATTTTTAATCATTTTAGTCCTATTTCTTGTATGGAATATTCAAGACATGGCGATTCATACACACACACTTGGTCTCTATCTATCTTTATGCGAATGATACTCTTGATGTTTGATGTTGGAAGCTTTGTGATTCTTATTGTGAATTATCTTCATTGTGATTGTGATTGTTTCTCTCTAGGAATTGAGGAGTTTCTTTCATGCCTGTTGATTCCATATTTTATCCTCTTTTCCTTCACTGTTATCTCCAATCAGATCTCAGATTTTTTAAAATCTTTGAACTTTTTTTATTTTCAAAATTTATTTATCGAGTTTTTGTTCGTTTCTATGTAGATCTTAATTATTTCATTTATCTTTCTCCTTTGATTTTTTTTTTCATCGTTTTAAGTTTTAGGGCCATATTTATCGTGTCTTAGAGATTTGATTAACTTCATGGGAATTGGATGATATGATGCTATTGGTGTAGAGAATATGGGATGAACTGGGAGAGGGTGACCATGAGAGGGATAAGATGTTGCTCCAGCTGGAGCAAGAATGCTTGGATGTGTATAGGAGAAAAGTTGATCAAGCGAGCAAGCATAAGGCGAGTTTGCATCAAGCACTGGCTGATGCAGAAGCTGAGGCCACAGACATTATTTCAGCTCTCGGAGAACATTCACTGTTCACACGTGTGAGTTGTTATTTTTGTTGTTGCTTTCTTGTAATCATTGTTGTTACTTCTACTGCTGCTTCGGCTACTACTTCTATGGTACCATTACTTATATTACCGTGACTACTACTACAGGTATTTAACTCAGTGATGGGAGTTATAATTTATTCTTCCATATTGTTCTACATGTATCCTTGAACTTTTTGTGATTTTGTCAACGTGTTTTATAAGTTAGATGCACATTAGCAAGTATGCAAGCAAATATGCCCTAATGGGTCTTCATAATTGCTGGTTGTCCATCTAGTTTACACTCTGAATGCAGTGATTTGTTTGAAAGTACATTGTAGAAGAGTAGACAATATGGTGGTGGACAATGACGCTCACCAGAATAGAACATCACCCACGTTGTGGGCACTATTCTCATTTCATCACCATTGCTCACTTTACTGTATAGTGATGACCCCATGGGATGTGGTTTCCCTATTGTCTTTCACAGGTGTACTTTTGTTTTGTATATGGTAGCTGCAAAGTGCCTTTGCAGAATCATTCATGGGTTTTCTATGGGTTTCTGTTGCGAGAGAAACTAGTGGGAAAGAGTTGTATCTCTAAAACCAGCAAATTATTCTGTTCCACTTTCTACATTTGACTAATTTTATTTTTTCTAATTGTATGAGAAGCCTGTGGGGACCTTGAAAGAGAAAATGTCAGCGATAAGTCCAACTTTGGAAGACCTGAGGCATAAGAAGAAAGAAAGAGTCAAGGAATTATCTGATGTGCAGTTGCAGATTGTTCGGATTTGTGGGGAGATAGCTGGTAATGTCCAGCTTAGCAATTCAGTGACAATTCCCCAAGTGGATAAGCAGGACTTAAGTTTAAAGCGGCTGGGAGAACTGAAATCAGAACTCCAGGAGCTTCAGAAAGAAAAGGTTGTCATTATTTGCAAATTTTGGGTGTATAGTTTTAACTTTCCTGGAGGTGGCCGCGATACTTCAGTATTCATATCATAAAATTCTGGACATGCACAAAAATTAACCAAGCTTATTTATTAGTTGAATCTCTCTTATGATATTGAATATACTTTAGTGTAATTGGCTTTGGAATACCATAGGCCATTGAGTCACCATTGTTTATTGGAATGATGGATGGTGATGGAAGGAGAGTGACACTTGCCAGAATGGTACATGACCCACAGGTGATCACATTTTCTCTATGTCACCATCAACAATTTGGCATGAATGATGATGAATCTATGTTATGTGGTCTTCCGTACCGTTCGGATAAACCTATGTTACCTTCCTTAAAAAATATTTGATTTAGGCTACTTGTTTGAACAATCTATTTGCAAATCAATGTAGCGTCTGCAAAGAAATGAAATCAAATTTCCTTCTTGGCAGGCACTCCGTCTGCAAAAGGTTTGTGATCATGTTCATCTCGTACATGATCTATCAGCTGTAATGTCTTGTGACTTTCAAAAGACTATTATTGAAGTCCACCCTAGCTTGGATGATTCCTCTAGCAGTCAACCGAAGAGCATTAGCAATGATACCCTAGCCAGGTTAGCCGGGTGTGTGCATTCGCTTAAACAAGAAAAGCAGCAAAGATTGCAAAAGGTGATGTTAATATGCTTTTAAAGTGCTTTTTCTGTTTTTTTGTCTTTATCAATTGCATGACCATGATTATATCTGTTGTCATCAGATTGATTCCACAGAATATATTCTTGATAATCTTGAGCATTTTTTATTGTGTTTTTCATATCAAATTTCCTTGCTATCAAGTCTTTCAAAGATCCCTATTATGTTTACATTTTAGTTGATACAGGCTTAGAAGTTTCGCACTCTTAATGCGCTTGTACCAACTATCATCATAAGACTCTGTTGAATTGGAGTTCTGCCAATATAAAGTAACTCAAGTCACTATAAAGCAACTTAAGTCACTAAAAAAATCAGCAAAACATATGTTTTATAGGAAATGCATCTTGGTTGGTGTTATGACTTGCTACAAATTTAGCATGGTTGTGGTAATCATTGGGGATGACTTGTGTGATGTTGGGAATAAATATATGATCTGCACCAAATTAGTTAAACTTATGTTGTTGCAATTATTGCATGCAATAGTGTCATCACATATCAGGTTATCTAATGAACTTGGAGCAATGTGACATGCCTTCCGGACTAGTGAATATAGTCAACTACTATTGTCTCTTTTGAAGGTTGCACATTTCATTACATCAATCCTACTTGTGTGGCTTGCTAAGGATTGCATTGTAAAACAAGAGGTTTACGAACTTCGTATGGGGAGTGAGATGCTACATTAGAAATTAACTAGTCTTGTGTTCGACTTCTTTTGCTGAAAAATTTGCTACCTTCTTTCTTGCACTCCTGTGAATTTGGATTCTCATGGCTACTTAGATATGAACATCCTATTGGTAGCATAAAAAATTCCTAGAGCTTTGGGCTTCTTTTATCCTGTCAAATGCTCCTCCGCACTAAAATCCTCTGTTGTATGGATTGTTCTATTTGGTTGCCATACCTGTGTTGGACAAGCATTGACACATGTTCTGACATGATTATTTTGGATTCCTCTTCTTGTTTATTAACCATCGGTGAGATCATTTTAGAGGCTGGATCTTCTTTTTTGTTTTGAGTAGGCACATGTGAGCTTTGAAAATTATGAATTCAGCCAATTAATGTGGAATACTAGTAAAATATTGTATAGATTATCTCTTGCTCCTCATCATGAAATGGAATACTAATAAAACATTATTGGATTTTGTTGCCTCTTCATAATATAGCTGTGTTGCCAAATACACTTCTTCATGGCATAAGAAATCCAACACTGTACTTGTTTCAGACACTAGCACACGTACCCGTGTCCATGCAACATAGCTGAGACCTTGTGAATAATGGCTACTCTTCTGCCTTATTGTGACGCATTGATGTTCATCATAACTGTTCACAGACTAGTATTTGGGTTGCAAGAAAGTACCTCAATTTTGGAGATCAATTCTTTAAAGCATCCCCTACCGGAACATCTACCTCCAATGCAGTCATTGTGTATCTTCAAAAGGTGCTCGTGTGTGCATTGAATGACTCGACAGCTCGGATAAAAATTGGTAACCAAAGGTACACGATTAAAACGACAATCTTTTTATTGCTTATAATAGAATAAGCACAAGGTGAGGAGGTTCGCTTCATAGTCCAGTATAGCCATCCCTCTTAGACCTCTAGTTTATAGAATACCAGGGATGCCCCTGCTCTTTAAGATGGGCGACTTCTTAGACCTCCAGCTTACAAAATACCAGGGATGCCCCTGCTCTTTAGGCTGGGTGACGGTATTGAACCTGGTGAGGGCAACCCTCAAACTAGCTGAGGAACCTTGCTTCCCAAAGAAAACAAAGTATGTACTGAATACTTTCCTGACCCTCACGCATTACAAAATAGTTAGCAAGTCTTCGATTAAAACACAAATTTTTTAAAAAATTTCCTATTTTTTGAAGTATGTTTAGAACTTCGATCTTTTTAAAAGATCTTAAAAAAATCACGACTTTTTAATGGAATTGATTTAAATCCATATTTTATCTTTTTTTCAAAAAAGCTTTAAAAAAAAACTTCTTCCCTATAACTTTATTTCTTCATTGACTTAATATTATTGAATTTTGATTTAAAGATAAATACATTAACAGTGGGAGTAAATTAAGATTTTTTATTTAACAAAAAATTCCATAAAAAAGTTCACCAATGAATTATCTTTAAAAAAGTGTACAAAACATGTAAGCAATATATTCCTAATTATAATAATAATTAAAACAATCGTATACCTTAAAATAATGGGCAAAATTAGAAGAAGAGCAACCTAATGAAAATCTCTTTTTTTTTTTTTTAAATCCATAGTGTCCTTGTAATGAGCAAGAGAGAGATTCAATGATACTAAAGGTTTAGGTAGCTATTCAGTGCGAGATTCAAATTTTCTTGAGCATTTTGTTTTTGTTTTTATGCATAAAGAAGTTTGATTAATTTCATATTTTATTTTTTATTTTTGTATTTATTGGTGTATACAACATAGCATTTTGGATGGACCACTATTTTACATATTTGGGTCTTTGCGCTTTTTTTAGTTCGCTGCAATCCTATATCGAGAGAGGTTTTTGATTTTTTTTATTTTGAGAAATAATCTTATACCTTGGTTCACAGTTCTTGTTATTTACTAATTAGTTACTGTATTTAATATTGTTGTTGGTTCATTTTGTGCTTGCAATAGATCTACAATATATTTTGTGACGTGACAACAAAGTAAGCATTGTTGTTGGATTTATTTAAAGTCTCAACAAAAAATTATTAAGTATTATTCTAATGGCACTAGTAAGGCTATAAAATTATTGTTTAGTGGCTTTAGTATATCTATACAGTAGTTGCAAATCATAATCCCATATTTTATCATCTTTCCATATCTGATTTTACACTACATTTTTTTGAACCAAATCCGAAATATTCACGATTCTATAGCTTACCTTAATTTTTTGCAATCCATATTGTTGACCCTATTTTTTCCTTCGACTTTTTGAAATAAAATCGATTTGTTGCCAATGTTTTGGTTTGTCGATATTTTATTATCCCTTGACTTGCTAACTATGGCCAGAAGTGAAAGGTTTTGAAGTTTGGGGTGTTTGGAAGTTTTAGGTTTTCTTGGGAATTGGGCTGTCTTGGATTTTGAACTTCCTAAGAGTTAGGCCTTAATAGTAAGAAGTTCTTAGTCAGTTTTGGGTTCTTTTGGGGAATGGAGGGTATTTTGGGGATCTTAAATAGATGTACGGATAATTTGAGTAGTATGGGAGATGCTTAGGGGTAATTTGGTAAATTGGGTATATTTTCTCTCTCTAGGTTGGCTCCTAATCTCAATTGTCCAACCCTTAAAAATGAGGGTTAAGAGGGATTTTATAGACATGGGAAAATATAGGTGGAATATTAAAAGTGCGTGGGTAGAAAATCTAAAGCATGACTCAAAGGGGGGTGGATTATTAAAAATAAATTCGGGCCAGGGCTGTAAATGACAATTAAGGACGCCTAAATTTTAGAATTTTCAATGATTTGCCCTTGGGGAGGCTTTCTACTTCATCCACCACTAAAACCCATCAAATTGGACTGTTTTTCCACTGTTTCAACTCAAATTACTTTCATGAAATTGCCACAAATCCTGTGATAATCATTTTGTGACAAATTTGAGTAAAAATGGCACTAAATTTGACAAGTTATGCACCCTTTCAATATTGACTTTCCATCTTTGGCAAGATTTTTTATGCTTCGTCATGGTCTTTAATGCACCCTTGTTTGATTTCCACTTGATGATCAGCTACCAAATTCATGTGAAGGGCCTTGAGATCATCATTTGGCACAATTTTCGGTTAAAGAGATCGTCGTTTGTCCGAGTTATGGCCGTTTTATTTCTATTCATTTTTGGAGTATATGATGCCAAAAATTTCAAGCAATTTCTCCCTCAATTTTACTTTTATATTCAAATTTCTGTGTATTGAAATGAGCAGGCCTGAATCTTGAATCTCCTTGCCAAGTTTCAGTAAAATATACTACTTGTGTCATGAGATATCAGGGAATGATCAGAGATCATAGGGGCTGCAACTTTTGCGATGACTTTGATCCCCCTTATTTTTTTCCCTTCGAAATAGATGATTCAATCGAGGAACCCCCTTGATATGTATACCGTTTGAAAGCCCATGTAATGAGAAATGACATACCAAAATTTGAGTCCATTTGGTCTTGGCATCTGCGAGATATTGACCCGTCAATTTGGCCAAATTTTTTTGTGGCTACTGTAACTCCCGTAGCCGGCTGGAATGGACCATATGTTTCAAAAAAATGTTAGTGGTCCATTTGGTCCGACCAAGAGAACATTAGAATAGGTACTTCTGGACATTGGATCGGGTTGGAATTTGGCGGATATGGTTTTCTTATTTGCATCTTCTTCGCACAAAATTTCTAGCCATTTTGGCCATTGATTTCTCAAGGTTGTTTTGTAAAAGTAAGCCAAATAGTGTATATCCTCATTGAGTTTTACACAGTTGTAATGGTCATATCTCATTCATTTGACTTCGGATCAAGTTCATAGTTTGAAGTTAGCCCTTTCATAACACTTCTTGCCTTCCATAATAATTATAGGGTATTTGGATCTATATTCGGTGGGTCCCTTTGCAAAATGTGTCCGTCCCCCTTAAAATTTTGAACTTGTCAGATCCAGTTCTTGGCAAACCAAATTGAATCGGGCTCGAATTTATGATTTGAGCTTTTCACCATGATTCCTTCCTTTTGTAAATATGTCGGACCATTAGTATATAGCTTCTACAGTGTTGCTTTGTAATTTTAGTGCTATTTAAGGGCATTTTGTTTGGCTTCCTGACTTGCCAGATTCATATCTTTATCATTCGAAGTTGGTTTGAGGTGAAATTTCGGCGATAGATTTATAGTACCTTAGATTAAAATTTGGAATAGTGGAATGGGATCGTTAGGCAGATTTGACCGAAGTTTGACCGTACTTTATTCCAAGTAATTTGATCATCGATCTAAGGGTGTGTTAGGCAGGATGCTCCTTTGTTTTGGTAGTAAGGCTTCTCTCATCTTTTTTATTGTTGTTGCCACACTCCGCTACTGGCGGCCTTTTATTTCATACGATTTCTTGAGAAGTTGCCCTTAGCAATTTTATTGTGACAAAATACCCCCACACAGTTATAATTCTTGCGTTTTTCTTCACAAGCTTTCAGTCAAGAGTTTAAGCCACTCAAACAAATTCTTAGTCAATAAATGTAGTTAACATTATTAATGTATTTTCTTTGTTATTTTTTTTATGGTTTCCTATTAATCTTCCTTAACCTTCATACACTTTTCCTTGCTATTTTCTTTCTTATTTCTTGTGATTTGGCTGCATCAATTGGGTTCAAATGGGTCAGCTAACAGGTGAACCTGTGTGAAAGCTTTTTGTGTCAGTTGGAGGCTTTGGCGACGTAGACCATGTTTCTGATTAACTGGTTGGAGGTTTTTTTTTTTTTGGCTATCGTTAAAAAAAAAGAGTTTTTCAGAGATAATCTATCAATCTATGACTCTTATCTTTTCCTATAGGAAACTTATGTCTAGGGATAATTTCATCTATTATTTTTATAAGTGTTTAGATGTGAGTTTCTAAACACTGGATTTGGCCATTAACTAGGGTAATGAATGCATATTATAGCTCTTTTTTGGCAAGGGAGCAATAATCGTCTTTCTGTGATCCAGCCAGTAGACTTGACATTGCTCGTTGATTGTTATGATTGATATCTTGTTCAGACCTTTCAAAATGGGTGTGAGATGATGTTAACTTTTTTGTTTGTTTAGAGCTGACTTGTTCTCTTAATCTGGTGTATCTCAATGGAATTTTTTCTGTTTGATATGATCTTTAAGTGGCTTGCATAGCGACTTTTGGATGTTCATGTCTGATGTTTTCAGCATAATTTGTGCATTCAATAGTGGTAGTTGGCTTGTTGCTTTTTAAATATGTCAGAAGCAAAAGTTTTGTTTCTTCATACTGCCCTTGCTTGCACTGGCTATACTTGTAATCTAGCAAGTTGTATAGCTGCGGTTTCATATAGTTCTTCTTTATCTGACACAGCCTCATAGGGCTTGTGTGTATTTTAATTATGAACTAACTTTTGCTGGTAGGAAATGTTGATGTATTGCAATTCATAATTACTATTCTGCTGGTAGGCTGTGAATGCATAAGCATGCATCAAAAGGTAACAGATGATGCAGCCCAATATGTTATAAATGATAGTTATCACGCAATCTTCATTTTAAATGAAAATCTTTTCAACCTTCTTTCATTAAAGAATGAGATTTATTAGGCTATTTATTTGTAAGACAGGGATAAAGCATTAAAATCTCTCAAGCATCTCTCCCAAATGTTTCTTTCATTTATTTTGATTTCCAGTTCTCTTCTCATCTTAAATCTCTTCTCATTCTCTCCTTTCTTAGGTTTTACAGGAAAAAGTTCTCTCGTTCTCTCTCTCTCTCTCATGCCCCTTCATCCCCTTATTATTTTTCTAGTTTTATTGACAAACTTTCCCTTCAGTTTCTGAATGATTTATAATCTTTTTATTTGTGGTAATGCGTGTGATGCACAAAGAGTGAATTCACCTGGTCAAATAGTTAATAGTATGTATGCTCAATATATTAATATGTCTGAGCTTATTCAAAGACTATCCTGAAATCATTATTTTTTTTTTTTGTTGATTTTAGCTACAAGATATGGGGAGTACAATGGTGGAGTTATGGAACCTCATGGACACACCTGTGGAAGAACAAAAACCTTTTGACCATGTGACGTGCTTGATATCTGCATCGGTTGATAAGGTCTCAGGTCGTGGAAGCCTCGCTTTGGATGTCATTAAACAAGCAGAGATTGGAGTTGAGAGACTGGATGCTCTAAAAGCTAGTAAGATGAAGGAACTCGTTTTGAAGAAGCAAAATGAGCTTGAAGAAATTTATTTGGCGGTTCATATGGATGTAGATAGTGATTCTGCACGGCAGATTCTTATTAGTTTGATTGAATCTGGTTCGTCTCAATCTCTCTTTTTAGCTTGCTTTAAAATTTTCGAGATCCCTTTTTGATAATTCAATTGTCAATCCTTTGTTTGCGAGCTTGGTTTATTGGTATCTTGTACTTTAAAAGGCTTTCAAAGTTATCTTTTGAACTAGTGTCTTCTATGGGAAAATATCCTATGATCCTTTGGACTATAATATACTCATGGGCCATTACTGCTGATTGAAATGATGGATGGTGATGGACAGAAAATGAGATCCCTAGAACAGCATGTGATCCTATGGTGGATCCCGTTCTCTATAACAATGCGTCAAAAAAGAAAATTCTCCACAATGGTGTTGTTCCTATTGGACTTGTGATTTTCTGCAGCCATTTATTTATGAGATTGTCTACAAAGAGACCATTTATCTTTTGTACATGGAGGTCACAACCATTCCACTCATTAGATGTCAAATTGGATGGTTTGGGGTGAGTCATGAAGTCCGAGAATGTTTTTTTTTGGAACTTTGTGTCTATTCAATGACACTCCTACAACCACCCATTTTGAAATATAAGGGACATGAATGATTGTAACCTCCATGTAAAAACAATAAGCGCTGTTTATTTTTTCCATGCTCTCGTGCTATTTTTGCGTTTATTCTATTCATTTTCTCATGATTATGATTCTTTGAGTGATGTAGTTAAACCTCTCTGTACTGAATTAATCTTGGCATTTTCAAATGCATCTTCGTCTTGCTAATAAGACTTACTAATGTGGTTTATTCTATTCATTTTCTCATGATTATGATTCCTTGAGTGATCAATCTTGGCATTTTCAAATGCATCTTTGTCTCGCTAATAAGACTTACTGATGTAAATAGTTTGATAACTTCTCTATATATGGATTTACAGGGAGTGTAGATCTCTCTGAGCTGCTATCAGGCATGGATGATCAAATTGCAAAAGCTAAAGAGCAGGCCCAGAGCAGAAAGGAAATTTTGGAGAAGGTGGAGAAATGGTCATTTGCCATTGAGGAAGAGAACTGGCTTGAGGAATATGAAAGGGTATTCATGGCAGACAGAAACTGTTACTCTTTGTTAGAATCTCAGAAAACTATCCCTTTCTTTTTTGAAAGGGTATCCTTGTTATTTCATTATTGAGATTTTCTATGGGGGCTGAAATAGCCTCCTACCTAAACAATTAGGTGAATGACACTTCAAACTGATCGTAATGGTCATAAGGGGTTTTCTTCTAGAAAAAAAACCGCAAAAACTGTCTTAAAGAAATATAAAAAAAGTTGGACTTAATATTGGCTTTCACAATTGGCATTTTCTTTTGCTTTAAGAGAGGGAGAAGTAATTGTTGTGGTGGCACCATTGGATGAAAATGTCTGGCACCTCCTCATTTTATCTAATATTTTCGTTGACTAAGGACCCAATTTTTTTTATATTTATCCTCTTTACTCTCGAGAACGAGATTCTTGAAAAAATGGACTTGGAACCGTAAAAGTGCTCCATCTTGATTGCCATCTCAACATGTGATTCAACACTTCTATTGCAATGGACCTTATATCAGTCAGATTTGCACTATTTTACGAGCTTGAATTCTACTTTTGTAGGTTGTTTGTATGTGGCATAGGAGTGGGGCCACGTGCTAAAACTGCCAATAGGAAAAATAGGCAAAGTTGAGCTTTTTATGCCCTCATTCGAACTGACCGAAATTGTTCGAGCTATTTTACATTTTTTAATGACAAGAGTTTCCATTTTCTTAGTCTTTAGTTTTTATTTTCTGAAGTCGATATCAACTCGTATATAACAATTCATGTATTTTCAAAAATTAATTTGCAAGTGGCTGTGTTACCCTTTATTTGATAGAGGGGTAGTTTGACATTTGTTATGTACAGGATCAAAATCGCTATAGTGCTGGTAGAGGAGCCCATAAGAATCTGAAACGTGCAGAGAAGGCGAGGATTCTGGTTAGCAAAATTCCATGTGAGTGTGCTTTTAATGTTTTGTTTCTGGAAATTGATGAAGTACTGAACATTGGATCCAAAACCTATACATTCATAGAGAGCGTTAATTATCGTCTTTTTTTGGCTAGCATTCCAGTACATTTTCTCGGGCATAATGTAAAAGGATGGCTATCTGCTAAGACACTTCCATTCCTGATCATCCTTCAAATTATTTTGATAGAATCGCTCAGTGGATCTTGTTTATAGTGCATCTTTATCCCATCAGGAGTTTCCTTTTTAGGTAGATACTCAGGAGCAATAGAGCACATTCCCACTACTCACATATGCATAGAGCATCATGCTTCTTTTTGGTTTCTTAGTATGCATAGCGTAATCAGGTAACTTGGCCCTCATTGGCAGTGCTGTTTCTTGGTTAATATAGAGATTTTTTGAATGACATAAATGGTATTTGATGCTAATTGACATCTATAAAGGATTAGCCTCTTTAATGTTTTTGTGTTTTTGACTGGAACGTAAGTTGATGTAAGAATGACAACCTGGAACCGGTCTTGTTAGATTCGCATTGCCTTGGCCAAAGGCTTTGCTTCAGCCTCCAACCTAATAAAAACGAAACCCACCTGATAATTTTAATGTGTCATGAAAATATTACTGATAGTTTCACAATTTTGGAATATTTAGAAAAAGAAAACGAAAATTTTGATGAACCGACCAAGTGTATACATACACACACCCGTCTGGGTGCGTGTGGGTGTATGTGCGTTTGTGTGCCTGTGCATGTGCATGTGTTTGTCTGTCACCCCCACTGTGTGTGTGTGCACACGTGCTCATGTGCGTGTGTTTGTGTGGGTGTGCATGTGTGTGCATGCTGCTTGCGTGGGTGCATGTTATAGTTATAAGCCCCAGCAAAATGAGCATGAGAGGTTTGTGGCTCTTTCTTGAGTCATTTGACATTTCTCTTAGTGGCGACTGCGGTTAAGCAAGACAAGGTTAATGGCAGACAGGCAGAGGATATTAAATTACTGCAAAGACTGTTAGCTCCAAGCTTTATGTCCAAAGGTCATTAAGCAAGAACTAGTTCTGTATGTATGTTTACAGGGCCTGGAGCCTTTCCCAAGCTACTTCTTTTGATCATGATCATTATTTTGTATACAACTGTTGGTAGATTTGGAACCTGACCAGGTTGTGCTTCCCCCAAAAATCGCAAAAGTTGTAAAAAGAAATTCTTTTTAACTTCTCATTTTTTTTTGGCATTTTTCTCTTTCAAGTGACCATGCCTTAATTTTGGAAAGCTTATTATATGCAATTAAGTACATGAAAATCCTCTAAACCTAAATAATCTATTTATGGGAGTTTTCCTTTTAAAAAATGTATTTAAATTGTTTATGGAGGTTTCTACTCCATTTGGATGTCCTGGTACCTACATTAAGCATTATCTCCGCATGACTATATGGGCTGTAATGTAAATATAAACTCTTAATTGGTTAGAAACAGATGGAGCAATATCCTGGATTCTTACCAATGGCTTTAAATGAAATTTTTTCTATTGTTTCACTTGTAGCTATCAGCAAAACACTGCTATCATGGTTCTTTGCTTATAAATGGGGTCCCATTCTTATTATTGTGTCCAAGAATAGTGGTGTGCGAAGCTGGTATGCCCACCCAATCATTTTCAACTTTTAATTCCTTCCAGAGAAAAAGAGATGTGCAAACACGGCTTTAATTTGGGAGAATCTTCCCTGTATGGGTCATTTCCCTTCTAGTCAACTGAGCTGGTGTGTGTGTGTGTGTATGCGTGTGATGTTATCAAAGTACATAGACCCCCGAAGTCTATATTTACACCATCTCTTCTATTTTATTGTTTTTGGGTTTAACTGGACTGATTAGATCTGGAAAAAATCTGAACTTTTGAAAATTTTATACAGTGTATTTCATATTGTGACATGCCATTATGTAACATAATTGAGGCTATGAGTTGAATTTTGCAATATTTCTTGTACTTTGTGTGTTGTAGGGGGTTAGTCATGTCATTATACACCATCTTCATCTGAGCCTTGTCCCAACTATTTGGGGAGTTCTATCATTGCACATGTACTGCATTTTCTTATAGCTTAGTATAGAGTTAATGCAAATATGGTTTCACTCCTTTTTTTTTTCTTTTTTTTGTAGTACCATAAATCAGAACTCTAGTTCTCACAGTTTGCCTGGATTTGCATGCAATGAATTCCAATCGTAGTTACTGGGATCAGATCAAGACTGTTTTCGAGACAGGATTGGCAGCAAGGGATCGTAAAAGGCTCGAAGGTCCCTAGGTTTGGGATTGCCGTCCATACTTCCCAAAATTTAGGGTTTGAAATCCCAATAAGGTGGGGACTTGATCTGAACTTCTAGGGAATGATAAGTTCTACCAGTCTGAGCTTCATCTGGTTAAAAATCGAGGTCCTCAAGTACGCCTAAGTAGGGTTCTCTAGGTTGAGAGTGCAGCTCGTATAATATTTTAGATAATTAATGAATTTTTTAAAATTCATAATTTTATTAACAAATGTAAGAAATCCAATCATTTGATAATAAATTAATTTTTTGTACTCCTTTTGAGTATGGTTTATATTGTAATTAAGTAATAAACAATTTAAAGGGAATTGAAATGCTAAACTTTATAAAGACATAAGAAAATTTAATAATTATATAATATTTTAATTTGCATCCGTTGAGTGTAGTTCATGACTTTATGTAATGTAATAACAATCATGGTCATCTTCTTTGTTGTATAAAAAGTTCAAGATAAGTACTAAGTTGAAGCTCAAGGTAACTTGTGAAAGAGCCCATAAGGGATACCATTTCCAATAATTAAATATCGCATTTGACTTATGGACGAATATGCAAGCGTACGTTTCATGCTTGTTTGAGTAATAACAATGAGCTAGGATTTCAAGAAGGAGATACCATTCGTTCAATGAGAAATAGAAAGGAATATCGGAAATTCGAGTGGCTAAAGCTGAAGCAGCTAATTTCGAAGTAACAGAAAGAAAAACAACAATTGGAGTGGGAGAGGCATAGTCGAAAAGAGGATTCCTCACTTAGTCTACCACCATTGGAAAATATGTATGTGAACAAAACCTACAACTAATATATTATATGATACTTAAAAGTGTTAGCTAATTATGCAAAATAGGTTGAAACTCAAGGTTCGAACTTGTGACCTATATTAAAGAGGGAAAAAGGGATACTAGAGTCTTCCCTTGATCCTACATCGGTGGAATCTCAGTTTAGTTTACCTATGAACCCTTAGATATGGTGCAAATGAACTTTGATGCCATGTAACTTAGGATCAGATCCCTAATAGGAAGGATCAAGATCCCAAAGTTTAAAAATTGGAGAGGAAGATACCCCTCCCTAGAGCACATGAACGAGCTGAAGAGGGATGGACCTTGGGGAGATCCGGTAGTTATGGTTTCAATTTAAAAAGAATTTCATTCTCCATCAAATTACTAGGTTGTTTTAATTTTTTTAGATGGCGTATATTATTAATATCCCCTGTGTACCCACCTCTGTTTATTTGCACGTTATGTTCAACTTAATGTGTAATGTCCATGTCAAAAAATAGTTATAAAAAAAAAACAGGAAAAAGGCATTGGAATTCTAATACTTGACCTCCCTTATACAAACTGGATGTGACACCATTCGACCAAAATTTGACAGAAAACAAATTATTTTCCTTCTCTCCTTTTAGCATTTAAGAAAACTAGTCTTTCTCTCTCTGATGCAGTCTTGGCGACATCATGCTGACATCATCACTCTCATCTAATTCCTTTTTTTAATTTACTTTTTACTAGCCATGAGTTACTGTTCATGAGTTACTATTCAAGAGTATTGTTCCCGGGTTACTGTTCATAGGGGTATTTCCTAAGCATTTAATATTGTTTACGGGTGGTGTGGAGTTTTTGAGGATTGTTTGGAATTTCTTTTTGGGGAGCTATAAAAATTGGGTAAGATCCACCTCAAAAGAGGTGGACAACCATAGCCCGACATGCACTATTAGGGGATTATTTGGAATTTATGAATTAGTAGGGATAGTTTGTTGTTTTATTATAATTTATGGTTTAGAAGAGTGGCTATTTATCTCCTTGAAAAGAGCTTAGTGGTGAATTTTCATCTATTTTCATTGTCGAGAGACTTCTCTCCATTGGAGCATCTTTAGCTTCAATGTTAGTGAATCTATTGAGTTTCAAGCCTATTTTCTGTTGGAACTTGTTGATTTATACTCTGCACCCCATCAATTGGTATCCATGCCAATCGATTTCACCATGCACTGCTAAATTTAGATTCTTTGGTTAAGCTATGTCATTGGATAGGCAATACCTAAGGAATAATTCTAATCCCAATAGGAGAAAGAATTCTTTCTATTTAAACACTATTGAGCCCTTTTCTCTCAATACACATATTTCTCTCTCCTCCATACACCAAGTCTATCTCTCTCTTTCATTAAAATTCATTTTTCTCTCTCCCCGTTCCAAAAAGGGTCATGCCACCCAAAATTTAATAAGACAAGGGTGGCGATTGCCCTAATTAGAGTTTTGCCATTTGAAGAAGAAAAAGAGGTATGCCTAGCGATGGCAATGGGTTGGGTCCAGCTAGACTCGGACCCATACACGAAATAGAGAATATTTACTCGGACTCGAACCTGGACCCGGATCCGACGGGTTCAAATTGAACATACCCGTGCCTGTACTCGACGGGTAAATTTGGACCTAGGACTCGTACCCATACCTGAGCTGGAGATAGAGAGAGAAACTTAAAAAACAGAACCAAAACAACAAGAGTCTTTAGAGAGAGAAATGAGGGGAAAGGAGGAGCTACCTTTTTCTCTTCGGAAAGGGGAGGCAATGAGTGCTTCTTGGCAGAGGTAGGAGAGAGGGAACTGAGGCTCCTGCACTTGCGGTCAGGCTCTTCTGTGCTTCCCATGATGAAGAAATGGCGATTTTTAGGGTTTCAGGAGTTTGGAGTTTTGCAGCCACATTAGGG